CTGAATAAGAGTTCTTTCCAAGAGAAGGACCTAGCTTTTATAGATATGTGACCTTCAATGTCCTCATCTGTAAAACAGGGACAGTACCTACACCTCACGGGGTTGTAAGAATTATATGAGATGATGGTTAAGCAAAGAGCTTAGGACAGATTTCCAGCACAATCTTCCACAAATGAGAACTATGAGAAAGCCAGGAAACAGCAAGTACTTCCCCATCGCCATCCCTGGATGCTTCCCCAGAGGACTAGGAAGACCCTGTAAAACCAGAGTTGACTGCGAAGTTGTCTGGTGGTGCGACGTTCACACCACCCCTTTCCTTTTTAAAGCAGCGTCGACTCTCACTCAAATTATTGTGCCCATCTTGACTAAGTCATTTGGGAAGAACGACAGCCTCCTAGGCCTCCAGGCCATGGACTGACCCCCAAGCCCTCACCATTGAAAATCAGAAATGGTATTAATGAAAATATACTGAGAAACCACTGTGTTTCCTTGTCACTGTTCCATCCTGATGTATGCCTGGCACACAGGTGCTAGGATCCTGCAAATTAAATAGTGAAGGCTGTGCGGACGGAGGCACAGGAAAAAGGAACACAGTGGGAGATGGGTTTGATAATTTAGTAAGATAAGTTAGCGCTGCATCATTTTGGCAAGACTGAAAGAAAAAGCACCTCCCCAGCTCTCAAGATAAGACAGCACGGATGGAGCTTCAGGATAGTACACCGAGGAAAATCAAGTCAACCCTACTGCCTTCAAAACCACACAGACCCTAAAGTTCCTTGTCATCCAGGCCATCCTGTGACAAGCAGATGGCACACCTGAGAGCACTGTGGAGCTCCCCACTTGTCCTGAAGCCTTAACTCCACATCCACCTGGTGAGTGTGCTCAGTTGCTCTGTGTGCCCGGCCTTCTAGTCAGATTCCTCTTGTTAAGAACATATTGGCAGGCCGGGCGCGGTGGCTCACGCCTGTAATCCTAGCACTCTGGGAGGCCAAGGCGGGCGGATTGTTTGAGCTCAGGAGTTCGAAACCAGCCTGAGCAAGAGCGAGACCCCGTCTCTACTAAAAATAGAAAGAAATTAATCGGACAACTAAAAATATATAGAAAAAATTAGCCGGGCATGGTGGCACATGCCTGTAGCCCAGCTACTCGGGAGGCTGAGGCAGAAGGATCACTTGAGCCCAGGAGTTTGAGGTTGCTGTGAGCTAGGCTGACGCCACGGCACTCACTCTAGCCTGGGCAAAAGAGTGAGACTCTGTCTCAAAAAAAAAAAAAAAAAAAAACATATTGGCATAGTGGCTCATGCCTGTAATCTCAGCACTTACGGAGGCTGAAGTGGGAAGATTGCTTGAGCCCAGGAGTTGGAGACCATCCTGGGCAACATGGTGAGACCCTGTCTACAAAAATAAAAAATTAGTTGTAAGTGGTGCTGCATGCTGTCGTCCCAGCTGCTCAGTAGCCTGAGGCAGGAGGATCACTTGAGCCCACGAGTTCAAGGCTGCAGTGAGCTATGATCTGCCACTGCACAGACCAAGACCCCATCTCTTAAAAAAAAAAACAATCAACCTGTATTGGACTCCAAGTGACCAGCATTCTGTTCCCTTGACTACTTTGCCTTGTGCAACTTCCATTCCAACTAAAAACAGGCAATGCAAGCCCCACCTTCATCAGGATTGGTATGTGTGCACAATGCAGAATTCTGGGTCTCATCCCAGATAGGCCTGCTGGATCAAAGTCTCGGAGGGAACTGCCTAACACACATTAAAATTGGGGAACCGTCCAACCCGAACACCAGCATCCGACAAGTGATTAGCGCTATCGTGCTATCTTTAGGGCCACAGTTCAGCTGAGGACCATCTAAGTTTCAGTGGGGTGAGAGCGAACAAGGAATCCCCTGAACTTACTCATAAACATGTTTGTACACATAAACTTTTCTCAGGGTAGGAGTCTAAAACTTTCATATGAGGCTCCCAAAAAGAACAATGGGGCAAGTATAGCCAACTATTGTCACGGAGCCATTCTTTTCTGCTGAGAAACATCTGGTTAACCAGCACCCTCAGGGTTTTTTCTCCACTCTTGTCCCTTTTCTTGATTCAGCCTGATTTTTATCTGGTTTTGTAAGGATGACTGCTCCAATTGTTGAAAGCACTTATGACTTTACCTGGGGATTAGGGGGACCGGCATGCTGGGCTACGATGGCTCAAGTCCTTTCTGCAGGGTATGCGGTAACCGGAAGATGGTGTCCACGAGCAACACCACTAGTGAGAAACAACTGCTTAACAGATTTGCTCTTCACAGGAGCTGTCAGGGCATCAAATGGGTGAGTGCTTTTTCTTTTTAAAAAAATTATTAAAATAAGTGTATTGTAGTAGAGTTAGGAGACCTGACCTCTAGCCCTCTTCTCATCTGAGCAACAGGTCAAACCAGTGGTTTTCAAACTATGTCCTAGAGCCCTGGTGCCTGCAGAGGGAGTTAGTTGACTGCAAGGGCAGTTCTTGGGCCTCCCTTTCCCAGAGTTTCAAAATAAATAGCTTCCCTTTTACCTCTCACTTATTGGGGTTCTGAATAAGAGTTCTTTCCAAGAGAAGGACCTAGAGCAATCTGGGGGTGGAGGCGTCTTAGAGGCAAGGCTAGCCCAGCAACTCAGCCTTTCCACCAGTCACACATTCCCCATCTCCTGTCTTCACCACCCTCCCCCAAGTAGGCAGAAGGCAGCAGAGTGGAGAGGAAAACACCAGGTGATTAAAACAAATGAAACTAGGCTTAAATTCCAGCTCTGCCCTGACCGGGTTGAATTTGACCTTGGTCAAGTCATCTCAATGTTTCTGACTGCAGATTCCTTCCCTGCAAAATGTTCTCCCAGTATCAGCATGAGTACTCTTCAAAATAATGTAGGAAGGTACTTGAGACTAAGTAGATGTTCGAACATTGCCAGTCACCCCAGTGATCCCTCTCCCCACAACAAAAATTTGTTGGTTGAGCCAAAATCCAATTCCTTGTGGGGCAGCGAGGGGGGTGGCCTTCAAGGCACCTCCCCTTAAGAGGCTTCCTACCCCCAGACACAGATTATTCAGAATCTTCTCCAACCCCATAGCTGGGGCTGGCCCAAGGGGCGACCCTCCTCTACTGCCCCACAGATCATGCCTGCATGTGCCCTCAGGCATCCAGTGAGAAAACCAGCTGGCCGTGGGAGACACAGCCCACATCAGGCCAAAAGTGAGGGACAGGGGTGCTAAGAATCTGACCTCTAATTATGTTCCTGCAACCACCAGAAATAGCTTCGAGCTTTTCCACAGGGATGTGGGGACCTCTAGTGGCAAGAAAGCCATGCTGCCTCCCTTTAGCACCAGAGTGAAGTCCCTGTTCTGAGAGCCATGCCAGGTCCTTCTCTTCAGTCCGGCACATGTTTACCGAGCTCCTACTACCCGCTAGGCCCCTTCTGGGTGCTGGTGATGCAGCCATGAGAAGTCAGACCCAGTACCTGGCCTCATGACTCCTCAAATTCCACTCTACACAGCTGGGCCCGACAAAAACTTGTAAATGTCCAACTCAGTCTTTATTGATAGTTTCACTTTGGGGTCGCCAGTGCTAAAAGGTGGAAGGTGGGGGGAGTACCTTTATGCATATCAAGGACTCCAAAGTACCTCCACCTCAGAAGGGAGAATAGAACCAATTACAGAACTTACACGGTGGTGGGGACAGGATGGGGAAGGGGCATAGTCTGTGCAGAGTTTAAGGGGATGTTGGAAGGCCTTTAGCGACAGGCCATGGTGGTGCTGAAGAGGGAAACGGGGCAGGGTCAGCCACTGATCTGGACCCCCTCGGCTTCAGCCAGAGGGTAGATCTCAATGGCCTCCACCAGAGGCAGCGCCTCCACTGCAGTCTCCATCACAGCCAAGCCGACGGCAGCCTCTGCCTCTGCCAGCTGCTGCCGCACAGCTGCCTGATGCTGCTGCTGGTGGGTCTTGCGGTGCTTCCAGAGGTTGGAGAAGGAGCGGTAGCTCTTGCCGCAGTCGGGGCAGGAGTAGGGCCGTTCACCAGTGTGGATGCGGCGATGTTCTGCCAGGCGCATGGAGATGGCAAAGGCCTTGCCACACACTTCACAGGCAAAAGGCCGCTCACCTGTGTGCAGGCGCCGGTGGTCTTTCAGGTGGGTGCTCTGACGGAAGGCTTTACCACAGTCCGGACACGGGTATGGCCGCTCACCTGTGTGGATGCGCCGGTGTACCTGTAGTGATGTCTCCGTGCTGAACAGCTTCTTGCACTCGCTGCATTCCAGACCCCGGCGCCGGGCAGGGGCCGCAGGGGCTGCTGTGGCAGTGCCTCCAAGGGCCGTTGGGGAGGCACCTGGTGTGCGAGTGGCCCGAGGGGCCCGTGGGGCCGGGGGCTCCTTAGCCAGGACCTCTCCAGGCCCAGCAGCTGCATGAGCTGCCTCATGTGCCTGCAGCCGTGCAGCTGAGCCCACTTTCTTGCCACAGGTGCCACACTCGAAGCGCCGTGGCGCCTGGGCGGCCGCGGCTGCACAGCGGTGCTCGCAGAGCCGCAGTGAGGAGGGGAAGGCAGCCCCACAGGATGGGCAGCGGTGGGGCTGGCGCCCTGCATGAACCACGAGCTGGTGGACCTCCAGCAGCCGGCGCAGCAAGAATGAGCGAGGGCACTCACGACACTTGTAGGGGTACTCGCCCGTGTGGTGGTAGCGGTGCATGAGCAGGCGGTAAGGGCGGTGAAAACGCACCCCACATTCCTGACAGCGGTAGGGGAAGTGTTGGGCGTGCACCAGGCGATGCTGCCTTAGCGTTGAGCTTTGCGTGAAGGCCTTGCCACAGTCCCCACACCGGTAGGGTCGCTCCCCTGTGTGTGTGAGCCGGTGGCGGGCCAGGTTGGCAGGTGAGTTGAAGGGCTTGGAGCAGTCAGGGCAGGGGAAGGGCCGTTCCCCAGTGTGTGTGCGCAGGTGGTTACGCACATGAGACTTCTTCTTAAACATCTTGCCACAAATGCTGCACTTATGGCGCCGCTCCAGCCGGTGCACAAATCGCTGGTGTCGGGTCAGCTGCAATGCCTTGCCAAATTCACGGCTGCACAGGAGGCAGCGGTAGGTGCCTGGGGCAGTGGGCCCTGCTGAGCTCTCCTCAGACACAGGGGGCTCAGGGGCCTCTGGCTCTCCAGTCTCTGCTGGGGCTGGCTCAGGGAAACTGATGACAGGCTCCTCTGGTGGGACTGGTGTCGTGGGCAGAGGGACACCCCCTACTCCATGGGTACGCCGGTGATAAAGGAACTTGGTGAGATTGACAAAAGTCTTTCCACAGGGACACGAATGCAGAGGATTTGGGGTGTGGGCTCGCCGGTGGGCCAAGAGGAGGGCCTCTGTGCCAAAGGCCAGGCCACAGTCAACACACAGGAAGTGCGACTCACTGCTGTGGTCTCCAAGGTGCTGGTCCAGACTGGAAGGGCTAGGGAAGACACGACTGCACAGGGGACACTTAAAGACGCCCTCCCGGTGACTCCGCAGGTGCTGCTGTAGCTGGTGGGGTGATAGAAAGAGCTGGTCACAGGCTGAGCAAAAGAGCTCCTGTGTGGCTGCCCCACCTGGCTCTCCACTGTTGTTCCTCCGGGCCCTGCGCCCCCGGCGATCGCGCCCAATGGCTTCACCGTTGCGCAGCTCGTAACTGTGGTCAGAGGCTGGCAAGGGGTCAGGCTGAGACACAGGCGCCTCTGCAGGTGATGAGGTCAGCGTCTCCTGCTGTAAGGCAGGCTCCTCAGACTCTGGGGCAGGAGCCGAAAAGTGAGTTGCCTGGTGCTCCAGAAAGTCGGCCGGCAGCTGGAAGAGCTGGGAGCACTCAGAGCACTTGTAGAGGAGTAGCTCCACCTCAGTCACCACCTCAGTGGTGGTGGCAGCTGCAGATGGGACAGCTGCCCCTTCCCCACCCTCTTCTGCTTTTCGGTACGAGTGCTCCACAGCAACGCGGGCCTGGCCCATGGGGGGCCCCAGGACAACTGGAGACCCCAGGACCACTGGGGCAGGAGCCTTGGTAGGTGTTGCCCGGAGGTGCATCTGCCTGTGGTTCAGCCAGAGCTCCTGGCTGGCAAAGAGAGCCTTGCAATCCACACACTCGTAGTGGATGGTGCTGGAGCTCAGTGGGGGTGCCTTGGGTGGTGGCTCAGCTGGCACCGCCTCCTGGGGTACCATCATCTTCAGGTGCAGCTCCTGGTGCTCCAAGAGCTGGCTGGGTGACATGAGCAGCTGACCGCACTCCAGGCACTGGTACTGGCTCTCCTGCACTAGAGTCTGATAGAGGCCCGTACCCGAAGCTGCCTCTGTGGCCACCGTGACTCCAGGGTCAGCCACACCCACCAGCTCAAAGTGCTGCTGCGGCACGTGGGAGTTCTGGTGCATGAGCACCTCCTCCAGGGATCCATAGAGCTGGTTGCACTCAGAGCAGACATAGCGGTGTTCAATGTACAGGACCGTCTCCTCTGACTCCTCAGTCATGGTGGCGGCAAGGCCCTGGGCTGGGAGAGGGAAGGGTGGGAACAAACCAGTTAAGCCACTTTCCTCAGTCCTTCCCAGTGATAGTTCTTCCCTTTATCACTCCCACCTTCCAAAGCCTTAGATCTATTTCCCCCTCTAACTTCTTTAGATTTTTCTAATCCCACCTCCTTCCCTAACAATCCTTCCTCCCCTGAACATAAAACAAAAACACCAAACATAAAAATCTTCCCAGTATTCCCTTCCCTGGAATCTACCCCAGATCTCACCTCTGAATCAACTGGAACCAAACTCCACCCACTAGATCCTTGTAACCTGTCCAATCCCCTCACCTCCTATGCCTCCCAGCAGGCTCCACAGTCCCGCCCATCGACAGGAACCTGTCTCCTCTCCTAATGAACTCACACTACCCCATTCCCTCTCCAAGGTACCCAGGTGAAACCTCACATAGGCCTTGACTGCCTACTTCTCCCAGCCACTCTCCTCCTCCTCCCAGGTTCTCGGATCTCTTTCTACACCCAGACTATTCAAGCTGTCCCAATGCCCCACCACTCCACTTTCAGTGCTCTTACGTGGTACAACCCCTCTTCCTTTACACACAACCCCTGCTACCCACTAACTCTCTTCTTATAGTGCCCAAAGTCCTCACATTCAACTATCCCTTCCTGAGTCAAATTTTCTCACACTAACCTATCCCCACACTCAGACCTTCCCCACCTTAACAACTTCCTCATGATACCCAGCCCTCCCCTTAAACTACTTAACCTCCTCTACAAATCAAGGCCTTCTCCCACAACCCTAACCCCCCCATCCAGAATACCCAGACCCATCTTCGCAAAAACCTAATCCTTTCTTCCTATCTAGACCCGTCCCACCACTCTAGGGTCTCCAGACACCTCACGTTAATCACTTCTTCCTTGTTCCAAGACCAAATCTACAATTCTAACCCCTTCTGGGATACCCATATCCCCCGTTCACATTGACTTAAACCTGTCTTCTTCATATACAACCACCCCAACTCATTCGGGGATACCTACACCCTCTCTTCCTATCAACCTAAGTGCCTCTTCTTTGCAAAACAGGCCCACCCTAACCCATTCTGAGGATGCCTGGATACCTTCTCCACATTGTCTTAAACCCTTTATACACCCGCATATCCTAACCCATTCCAGGGATACCCAGACCCTCCTTCACATTATTAACTTAACCTTTTCTTATTTGCAAAAAGACCCAACCCCACCCTAAGCCATTCCAGGGATACTCAGAACCCCTCTTCATATCAACTTAACTCCTCTTCTTCACAAAAAGATCCCCACACACTCTAACCCACTCCAGGGACATTCAGACCCTTCACGATGCCTTAAATTCCTTTCACACATACCCTTCCCGCTGCCCAAATCTCCTTTAGAGATTCCCAGACTCTCTATTCTTCTCAGGCAGAACCCCCATCACCACCCTAACCCGGCAGACAGACACCTCTTCCTCACACCCAAAGCCCTCTCACCGGCCTACCACTCTGGGGATACCCAGACCCCCAACTTATCAACCTACCATCTCCTTCTCATTCCGGGAATACCCAGAGCCTACCCCCCCTTTTAGCACACAGATCTCTTGCCACCCTATTCCCCACCCCCAATAACCAAATCCCATCTTCACTTTGGCCTAATTACCTGTACTTTAAAAGAAAAAAAAAAAAAAGACCTCCTCCTAGTGCATTCTCGAGACACCTAGAAACCCTTTTCTTATTAACATAGCCCTTCTTTGCGCAGAGACCACTCTTAACGCATTCGAAGGGTACCCAACCCCCCAACACATTGCTTTAACGTCTCTTCATATTAATTTAACCCCATCCTTCACATCTGGACCTCTCCCTTAGCTCTAGATCTCTTCCTTAGATTCCTAATACCTTTTCACACCAATTCGCTGCCCTAATTCTGCCCAAGCGTAACTACATTTTCTCCTCATGTTAGCTTAATTATCTCCTTTCTCCCTCCCTAAACTCCCTCACCCGGAACCCGAGGGCCGTCTAACCGCCCTATCCCCTGCGGTCCTGGACTTGTCCCACCACCAAGCCCTTTACCCCAACACCCTATGGAGCCTCGAAGCCCTCCTCAGGGACAGCTGTAAGGACTCCCCTTCCCGCCCCGGTTCCTCCCAGCCCCCAGCCCCAGCCCCAGCCCCGCCTCTCCTCAGCCCCGCCGCAAGACTCAAACCCCTTCCCCACCCGCCGCCCCGGCCCAGCCCCCGCGCGCCCCGGCTGCCGTTGGTGCCGCTGTGCCCTCACCGCCCGGCGCGCGCCCCCCTCGGGCCCTCAGTGCGCAGGCGAGGTGGCGAGAGGAGGCCGCGGTGTAGGGTGGGGAGCAGGGCCGGCCCTCAGCTCGCCCGCTTGCACTCACCTGCCTCCGCCGTCTCGCACGCCCCGGACCCAGGCCCAGGCCACGGTTCCCCTTGCACGGCCACCCTAGCGGTACGCCTCTCTAGCTCCCGACGTCGCGTCTCGCCTGCTCCGCAGCCTCGCTCTAGTCCTAAACCACCCTCAGCAATGCCCCTCCCACCTTCCTCCTCGGCCGGCACGCGGACGGCTGAACGCGCCCAATCATCGCTCGTCTGGCGCTTGCCGTTCAGCCAATCGATGCTCCCGTCTCTGAGGCTTGGCCCAATAGCGCGGAGCGTTGAGAAGCCCGGCAGAGCTCAACCAATCCTCTAGCGACATTCCCTCACCGGCAGGCCCCCTGGTTGATAATGCCCGCCCCCTTAAACCTCCCTGGAGGATACTCCTCCTCCACCTCCTTGTCGACTCCGCCTCTGACGGCTCGAGAGGGGAGTGCTGAGCGGAGGGCAGCGTGATGACGTCAGGCGGCGGAGCGCGGCTGCGGCCGCCATCTTGGGGGCGCCGGGCGGGATTTGGCGTCCGCGTCAGGGAGGGGCAAAGTCTGGGAAATTGTGGCACGCTACGTCCCCGGGGCTAGAGCCGGGGAGTTGAGGCTCAGAAACCCCC